GGTTCAGTAGTCAAACCTGGAACCAGTGTGACGACGACTGTAGCCTTTGTACATTGGGTTTGTTTGACCCATTTGACATTCTAATTCTTATACCAAGTCAACTTACTATCTCTTTGCTCCTCTTACAATTGCTAAAGCCATTAGAGGCCAACAATTGTAAACATTATATTGGTTGTAGTAAGTTGTTGGAAACCCATAACAAGGAGTATCTTTGGGGAGATTGTTCTTAAAAATGTCCATCTGAAAATCCTCAGTCTTTTCTGTAATTAGAACTATAAGTGTATATAAAATGTGTCAGTAGAAAGACAAACACAAATGAACACAGTGTACACAGTGTTTTAGCTGAAGAAAGCTTGCGTCATTCATCTTAGACAATGTAAACACCTGAGGTTCCTTTTAGGCTCCTATCCACAATCATTTCAAACACCCACGGACAGTTAAATGGGACACTTTGCAACGTTCATGGCATTGTTTGTAGTACAAAGATGGATGGACACTTTATGCATTCGCAGGAAAAAATTACACCCCTTGGTGCATAGGCATTTCCCACTAACTCAAGGCATCTTATCAAGATTCTGCTGGATTTTTTCAAAGTTCAAAGGTTAGTACTGTCTCCTTCAGAGTGGCTAAAACTCAAAGGATATACAACCTCATTAAGCTGAGAGCCACGGTCTCTCTCCAAGCACATGGCTCAACTACCATCAATTTATACACATCAGCAGATTGTTGGGATTCACAGAAGTCACAGCCCCCACACGCTACCTGCATTATGAACAGATGTGCCAGGAGCTGGAGCCAGTGATCCAGCGACGCATGACGAATGGCTGAATTTCACCAAAGGCCAAGGGTCAAGTCATATCCCTTACCCGACCCTGGCATTAGACACAGATGCATGATGTCAGTTCCCATGTGTTGGGACTGGAAGGTGACTGAAAACCCTTTGACATGCCTTAGACTTCCCCATAGAGCAGCAATCCCAGCAACCACTCACCGTGAACCGTGAACCTCCAGTTCCCAGATACCCACCTCAAATTATCCAGTCCCGCCGGAGCTATGCGCTTTCTTTCATTCACCTTCACCAACCGTTCGCCTCGAACCAACCAGCTCCCCAGACACCCACCAAAGTCATTCACCTGAGGAAGGAAACACATAGTACAAGAAGAGGTTCAAATTATGTATAGGCGTGTAGGTCATGGCTTCATTGGTTGTCCTGGCCTTGTAACTCCTGTGCACCCCAGTTCCTTTGTATTATTTATTGAACACTACACAGGCCCTTCACTTTCTTAACCCTGTCCAAAAAAAGCTCTACAGTAACCAGATCATTTTCAGAAAAGCCCTCTTTTCACATGAAAATTGATAAACTAATCCAACAACTACTAACATTGTGTGCTACAGCTTTAAGGATGAATAGAAGACCATTTTGTTTGCAGCAGATGTTGAATCAGGCATGTCTTACATGTGTCATTACTGGATAAAAGCTCATTTCATGCAGCTGGTTTTACACTGGAAACACATTGAGCCTCTGCTCTTAGCACAGCATGGTGCTAGAGACAAAGTGTTTCCAAAATTGTGGATCGTTTTCAGCTTAAATATAACATTATGGTTTTGCTTTTCCTCTACATTAGTCTCAACTGCATACCAACACATTCCCTCATGGATCCCAACTCCATGAAGCTTTGCGAATGCTTTTAGGAGCGCTTCATGTTACCAATCTTTACAATAAACTTCAGTTCCCATTTTATGGATTTTCAAGCGTAATATAAAAAGTATTTCTCATGACCTAATTGTATGGTTATATATGACTGTTTTCAAAATATGTAAAGACTCATCATGGATATACCGCTAACTTCCCAAAATGTATACATTTTTGTGAAACAAAGGTCCATTTATCAGATTTAAGTGCTTGAATGGCAGCATCATGGAGGGTATATTTATTCTATGTCACCAGTCACTTATAAATGGGGGTTTGTGTAAACTTCCTGCAGTTTTATATTCTTCCATTCACATGATAAATCAATGACTGGTAGTATTTAGTCATCTACATATTAGAATTTGATTAGCTTAAATGTATTGTAAAGAGCTCTAATTGGCCCTGTTGTTTCTCATCTTGATGGATGGTGTTTTTAACAGTGAGCTTACACACATGCTCTGCACACACTGCATTAGGTTAAAGTGCTGAAATACTCTTGGCGTTCGATAAATCACAAATGACTTTGGAATAGTATCTTTTCACCTTCAGTTTTGTTTAGGAGGGTTCTTATGGTAATGTTTTTTTCATTTCTTGTCAAAGTGCACAAAATGTTTTCTAACACATCCGGCATTAAAGTTTTACAGGACCAGATGTTATGTTTCAGTTTGTTCTTTTTCCACCGAGAGCCAAGAAATCCATTAATGGCCTCCTGGAATAATGAGGTATTTGAATGTGAGTGGCATTGGGAATTCCATTTTGAACTCTCAGCAACATTTTGATTGTTTGTCAAAAATCTTTTCAAATTAAGGAAGAGTTTGGGTTCCCTGGAGATAAACCTCATTTTCTTAATGTATAGCTACAACATTTTTTTTTCTTTTGGAGGAAAATGTCTCAAAAACTAGGACTTCTTGACTCTGCTGCTAGTTGACTTTGGTTAACATTTGGAACCCGAATAAGATAAAACTTTTTTCCAATACTTTTGATCAATGACAAAATACCTAAAAAATTATGAAATCAAAAATTATGCACTTCTGTGTCCAACCAGAACTTTAAAAAGCTGCTTGAGTCACATTCTTCTCGATATCTATGTTTTGGGTCAAGGTGTAGGTTGGCTTTAGGCTTTTGCTTGTGTTTGTTGACAACATCACAATAATACTTTTAAAGTTTTTTGGAAAAAACTCCATTAAGCCCTAATATATAGATGTTTATTTTGCTATGTGAGCCAACATCAACCATTCCCTATTTTTAACTGAGCATTAACTATGGGGTGTTCTGTTCTGGAATGAAGTCATGCAGGTGGGTGACATGCTTTATTAGCATGGGTAATTGCTCTAGCAGGTTGCCCATCATTTATTCCTGCTAACATTTCAATCTCCGGGCCTCTTAAGACCAAACCAATCAAACCCTGAGTGACATCTTGATTGAGGTTTAGACGTTTAATCAATACGCCCAGGATTAGCAGTAAGACAGTGTCACCTGAATAACTGCTACCTTTAATTATCCTAACTGCTTTGCCCGCTGAACCAATAGGCAGAGTTTAAATAACCCTATAGGCCAAAGAGGTGAAAGACAGGAAGACACAGGCATTTTAGTTCCTTTAAAAAAGGCAATTTAAATGAATCCAACAACAACATCTAAAGCATCATCTTTACTTTATGGGATTTTTGCCATTATGACCAAGATTCCACTCGTTTCCTTTGCCAGAGCCTAAAGGCAATGCAGCATTTTTAGTGGCTGACTGTAATCGTTGGAAATCAAATTTTCCACTTTTCTTATCAGTTTCGTTTTGAATCACTCAGACTGCTGAGTGTAATACCTTCTAAGCCTGACACTGGAATTGCATGTCGGGAGGACTATATTATAGTGGAAGGATATGACTTCATCCTCAAACATGGGGCTGCTTCTTCATCCAAGGTTAGTTCTGTTCTTTATCAGGAAGAGGCTCCTCACAGCAAACCCCCAGGCAGTTTCAAGCATCATACATGATAGAGGCAAATAATAAGGTTTCATTTGGAACTTGGAAGACGTTCAAAAAGAGAAAAAAATGGATGACTACTACAATCTCTTCCGATTTCTTATTCTGACCAGCCCCTCCCCCACTCTACATCCCTTTGACTTGTTTGTCGTTTCGTCCACCACAAAACAATTCAATTACAGTGAAGTCTGTTTGCCTGCCACTCCTCATTTTCCTGATTACTTCTGCAGGGTGACCCTAAAAAGACTTCAGGTCTGGATCAATAATCAAACCCAGTGCATGTCTACGGACAAAAAGAAACGCCCGCCCATCCCCCTCAGAGTTACTTCGACTTTGAGTAAATGAGGAGGCAGGAAGCAGCAAGGGGCCATATAGAGTCAAAATGTTTAATTAGTTTGACCCTGTGATTGCCATGGGGACTCCAAGTAGATGAATAGTGCTAATTAGCTGAGTGGCCAGTGAGGAATACGCTCAGGTAATTCCATGCAAGGCTCCGATTGATTTGGTCTGGATTAACCCGCAGACTCATTTTCCTAGGGGACTGTTGTGTGGACATCTTTGTCCCCAGATTGGGTTGGCGTCCATCTGCCAAGAGTTGGTCCATTCTTTGAGCAGGAAAGCCGTCGCTTTGCTGCTTCTCCATACTCAGGACTTATTGGCAATTTGTGAATAGTAATGCCATGTCAGTCAGCAACCTCTTTTGGTTTTTGAAATTTGAATACAGAGTGGATTTGCTACAAATACTACAAATTGCACTCATACACAGCCTTCATCGCCAAAGCTTAATCTCTGTGCTACTGTACAAAGGACAAGTGCATGGGCAGTAATCACTGTTACACTTAGAGCCAACAGTGTCTTTTGTATGTAAACTCAAAGTGGGGAAAAAAGGGGGAAACCTTTGAGCCATTATCACAAAAGTGACAGCAGCATGTCACCAAATATTTTTTAAAGAACGTGTTTATGAATGGAGGCTTATGTCAGAGAAAGAGCGGCCATGTATCTGATTATATAAGGATAGGATAGGATAGTACTTTATTGATCCCCAGAGTGTTGCAGCAGCACAGACAAGTAAGCTCAAAATACAAAATACACATTAAACAGAATAGATTAGACAAGACTAATAAGACTAATTAGACTTTTATGATGCAGCTTTTAATTTCATGTTGGTTTGTTTTGTAGGTGTAAGTGAATACTGTTAATAAGTTAATAATAAATGTCATCTTCATAGTGATACAGCCACAATTACACTCATAGTTCCTCTTATGTAACTTTCTGCAAACGTGTCTGAAGGAGGGCAATAAAACCAAGAGCAGCCCTCATTACTTTCAACACAAGTACAATCAGAACAGAGCCAAGACATGTAGTCATATATGCAGATTAGTGTCTAATGTCTTCAGTTCTGTCTGCAGTTAAAGTTAATGTTTAAGACCAGCAGCCAAGGACGCAGCAAATATGGACCCTTCTCTGCACCCACAGCTATGGGGGATTTATGCAGTATTTGGTCATGTTAAAGCTGCTATGAGGCATTTTTGATTATGATTATTGATGCCTGAATCTGCTCCTGGCAGGTAGGTGTCAAAACAGTCTTTTAAAAAATTCTCCACAGCGATGCTATGTAACATCCTACTCATTGTGTGTCAGTCCTGCTGAATTTTGAGTTCCCTAAGTGAAGTTATTAATATGTTAAGTCTAAGATATGACCTGTTCAATCAATTTAAGTACAGTGGTGGCTTTATTTATGAATTTGTATTGATTCAATATTTTGCATAAAACATAGCGTTGGCATACTCATCCAGCCTTGCACAGTTTTGAAAAAAAGATGAATTAGTAATATTCTTGGAAACAAATCATCAGTTTTATGTTAATTATTCAGTTAGCTGACAAAAAACACTTCTATGGATGTTGTTTTTCTTTCAATAAATGCAGAGAATTTGAGGTCAGTGAAGCTGTATTTCCTTTTTTCCACACTCAGCAGGGTCTTAAAACCTGCTATGTGACGTTGGGCAACACTGGCACCGCACACAGACAGGATTTCCTGGGTAGAATTGGCTGGAATTTGGTTTGAAGGCAGAGGACAAGGGAGGAATGTGAGTGAATATTTGAGTATTTTGAAAGGAGAGCCCACAAGCTAAGAATACCTCAGCTCATTTAACATCAATTATAGATTATTCTGGAGGGAAAGGTCCCACCTGTGACACTGAAGTTAAAAGTTCAGTTGTCTAGTAGGCTTGGAAAGGGCTTTAAATCAGTGGAATTATGAAACATACAAAGAACATTCAGTCCCACATTTCAAAGTAAGAGCCTGTCTGTCCGATGTCTAAACTGAAAGCATCTGCAGAGCCACTTTGTGACTAAGTCCACATCTGTTTCTTCAGATTGGACTGTAAAATCCAACTGAGGGGCAATGAATCTCTGTTGTCTTTGTTTTCAATTATTTCTCCCCTCATAAACATGTTTTCTTTCCTTTTACAGGAAAACAAAGCGTTCGGTGAAAGTTGGGATGATGCTGGGAGTGGAGGTAGCGACATCCCAAACACTGGAAGGTCAGGGTGAGGACATGTTTATTATAGTTTGTACGGAGTGTGTACAGATGATATACAAATCAAAGCACTGAGCAGGAACCAGTGCGAGCTGACGGTTGGTATATGACCCCCAGGGGCCCAGTACACTTCTTCACACTTAGTTTGACAAGTGGAACTGAGGACTGAGGGAATAGTCCTCAGACACACAAAAACACCCACAAATACAGACAGATAGAAAGATAAAGAAAGAGAGAGCGAGAGAGAGAAACATACTGCTTTTCATGTTCACTCTTTAAGGAACATACACTGCTATTTCCTATCCATACACTTTGTTTCCTTCAGACAAATGTATGCGTCTTTTACTTTAAAATAGATACTTACATGTCAAACTATATAACCTTCACTTCCCCTCTACTAGCACATCCTTTTTATTGGGATCAAAGTTTAAAAATGCACCCACTAGAGGGCGCAGTCTCACAAGGACCTCCACTTCTCCTTTGCTACCGTCCAACTGACATTCGGTTTGTGTCCGATCGCCGCCCAGCTGTTCTGTTGAAGTTGTGTCTAACATAAAGTGATCATTAAAAAAACAAAAACAAGATGGTCGCAGTTAAAACAAAGCCAGCATGCAACTGACTCTCTAAAAGATTAACTTTTTTTCTAAACACAGAAACGCACCAGAAGGCCAAACCACAAGTGTTTGAGTCTCCGCCACCTGTTGCTGCTGTATCACTTACCATTGATCATTCAACCAAATGCAATGCACAGTATCAACAAACCTTTCTAAAATGGAAATCAAATGTTCACTGTGTTTACAGGATGGATTACCAAAGCACATGCCCGGACTCTCCTCCCCTCCTTTGGCTGTTTACTCCTCTCTAATTTAGACAGGATTTGATTCCACGGAGTTCCACCAGGATCTATATTTGGACCGCATTAAGTTTGGAAATCTCTGTGAGGATAATTTTGCAAATTTGGCGAGTTATATTTGGAAGAAGTATTCGATACACCAAACAATCCTGCATATGATGGTGCTATGAAACTTTACGCAAGAGTTTATATCAAAGACATGTCTGCTAATAGAAGCTTACAAGTAAAAGGGAGACTCAGCAGCAACGGGATGCAGTGTGATGGATCTTCAGGCTTTTAACCACAAGGAATCACAGTCTCAATGTCTGCCCCCTCCACAAAAACACTTCATCAACAAACCATAGATTTCAGCATGAAAACAACCATTTGGCTGAATCAGCAGACCTTTACTATAAGTGCCACTTTAGACAAACTTCACTTGTAACACAACTGAAGCACAACATTTTCAAATCAATCTTCTGGAGTTGTTTGTTCTGTTCAAATTGGCTCTGTTAATCCTATCAGTCTGCTCTAACTGACAAGGAAAAGAGCTATGTGGAGAACATGAGACAGAATAGACCATTTGTCACGGCTACCATCTCCAGATACGGTGACGAATATAATGTGAATTTACTGCTCTCATGGACCTCTGCCAAGATGATCAATTCTGTTTACTGCACGGAGGAAAGAGGGGTCTCTTTAATATCTGTGCTGCAATGTGGGAATTCTGCTGTAGTCCGTTTTTTTTGTTGTTGACATAATGAGTCGTGTTCTTTGCTGCCATGGGGAGAGCTGAACAAGCTGCAAAATTGTTGTGTAACCACCGTATAAAGTTGTTGTGGCTAATGTGTTAGAAAACAGTCACTAATCCAGTAGACAGAAAGCAGAATAAGCATGGACGCCTATTATAAATGGGCTAGCAAAGCTTAGCCCTCCTTTTTTATACAATTAAGATGAAAAAATTCACATTTAATCTAATTTAATTCCCTTCTGTAGAGTAAATGAGTGACAGGTGTCATGCCATGCCCCCTTGATCTGCTGAAGTGTTAGCATCAAGCTAACGACCTAAGATGTAAATCCTGGTCTATCTGTGAGTGTAGGTTGACTTAGTGGTCTTAGTGGGCGCCAAATTGCACCAAACCAAATTCCTACATCTTGTTGCTTTCCGTGCCTATAGGCTAAGACTCTCCTAGATAAAACGCCAGCATGAAATAACCATGAACATCATCCTCACAAATCACTCGTACTTTCATGGGCCAACGGGGGCCTGGCTGTGGGACCGTTCCACCTGCAGCTGGACTACACCAAGGCGGATCAAATGAAGGATCCAGAGTGTGATGAAACGCAGCATACCAGGGCTCCCATGTGAATCCGGCACCTCCGCATAACAATCTCTGATAAGACTTTACAAGGATAAGAAGGCATTATCTGCTATCTCTATACTGCCTGCAAACTTTCTTTCTCACGTTGTATTATCAAAAGCTCAAATATCAACGTGGTGGGAAAATGTGCCAGAACTTTTATTGCCTGATTAGAATGCCATAAATAAACAAGGTAGAGACAAAAACTTTGATAGATTCAACGCTGACTCGATCAGGACAGTAATACTCCACACAACACTGTGTCCTCTGTTTTTATTCTTTTCCCCCGACGCCCTCACAGCTGTTGTGATGTTTATGTGAAACTCTGTGTTGATTCCTGGAAGCCGGAGAGAGCAGCAGTCTCTCATCGCTGTGTAATTGGCTCTCTGACACAGCGAGGTATCCGACTCCCAAATGCATCCCATCCATCTATATTCATTCATCATTCATCCTGCTACAGCACATTAGCGCCACTAGCATAACAGGGCTGCAAAAACGACCTGTTTCTAGCTTTGTGTTTTCAGCTGATGAACTGCAATAATGCATAACTCCTCAGAAGTTTAACATTTCTAACCTTAAAGATCAGACTATGCAGGGTGGCTTCAATTAAACTGGAATCAAAATTGCACCCCACACTGGCTCAACATTAGCTTACGGACACATGCTGATGACATCATCAAATTCACAGCGGCTGCTCATAAATCAAGTTCAAACATGCTGTGGTACATCAGGATCTTTTGAGTCCCAGCTTTTTTTATTTCTTCATGGAATCTCAGCGATATTATCTAAAAACTGGTATGCGCATGAAAGAATAGTTTCCCAAAGAACATTTGGTTTGAGAGGATCTTCAAAGGAAAAGAATCGGCTATTGTCGCAGAAGGGCTGTTGCTGATTTTAACTTGAGGAATGTTTTCAATGGTGTGGACAGAGAGGCTGATGCCTCAGATCCTGAATCATTTTCTCATAATATCCGAGGAGACAACGCCAAGTTATCCTGAAAACATTTAACTTGACTGGCAGATGGGAGGCAAAAAAATCCACAGATTTATGTCGGGTTTCCGTGCGCTCATTTTATAAACCACATGTATAAAAAAGGTATTGAGTTGTTTAATTTGGTGCAGAAAAGCAGTGCGTGTATATAAAAGTGACACATCGTGATATCTCTTCGGTCCCTCTCTGCCAGCAGCGATGAAAAATGTGTCTGACAGCTGTGCGGGGGGGGGGGGACATGTGCAGCTGATAAGCTTCAGCTAAAAAAAAAAAGGCTGTTCAGCTGGAGGTGATCACAAAATATTTCTACGAGACGCTTTCCAGTTTGACGAGATTCACGTCTAATTAAGACACCTTGAAAAAAGCGTGCCTAAAAAAAGAAGTCAAACTATGTTGTCTATGTTTGTTGGCTCTCGTAGCAGCACATCTCGTATCAGCTTGACAAAATAATCTAAGGTAATGAAGAGCTTTTAAGGCTGCTCATAGTGGACTCTGGTCAGAGTGTCAGAGATGAATTACTACATGTTATATTATCTCTTCAGTTTAGTTGATTAACTTCTCATTCTCCTCACTACTTTTCTTGCTGTCTGTTCAAAGATCTGAGCTGAACTAGGGGAAAAATGTTCTGCCTGATGTATTTGGGATTGTGGTTGATTTGACACAGTTGTCCTTATTTACTTGTTATTGTCTTTAAATGTATTTTGCATAATGTTTATACGTTTGATTGTTAAAAACTTTGTCATTTGTGTTGTTGCCCATCTTGGCCAGGACACTCTTAAATGAATGTTGTCTAATCTCCTCAAAAATAAAGGTTAAATAAATAAAATAAATCTACCCAAATCTATAATAAAAAGATAAAATCACGACTGATTACATGAGTGATGTGTGATCCCCGACTGGGATTCAAATTGGGAAATGCTGCCACCTAGTGTTCATCTTCAGCAGCTAACTGGTCAAAATGTACACAGAGAGAAGAAAAGTGTTGATACAGATGTTTGGTTCAAACATGGTAATAAATATATTGTTTTTTAAAAAAATACCAAAAGTGGAAACTTGAAAACAATATGACCATTAGAAAAAAATGAATGTTTGAGGTCACCCTAAAAGGTAAGATCTTCTTTGTTGTGCAGGAAAAATGACATTGAAGATAAGTCCAATAAGTGGTTTATTGCTCCTTACATAATAATTCCCTTTAAGCCCCTGTGATGAGTTTTTTTACTGGTTTTGAAAAGGGCTGAAATGAATAGTGATGCCCTTGATCTGCAAAAGCCAACAAAGCCATAATCAACCAGTTGGACTTTTTCTATCCTTTGATGTTTTTATGTCTTGACCTGCTTTTCTGTGAAATATTTTAGGAAACAGCGAAAAAAAAAAAATAGCTGGGTTCATAAAACTGCTTATTCTCTTTATATCTGTTTCTTAAGGTTTTACTGAAAATGTATTTTTCAGGAATAAATAACTCTACTGTACTGATAAAGTCCAAATCATCCATGTCATGTAATGTAAAACATCTCTCATGATTTACTTTAATCGCAGGCTGCAGCACAAGAAAAATATTTTTAAATCCTATGAATAGAGCCGAATGGACGGTGCAGTTCAGTCTGCAGCCACTTGGTGCTGCTCTTCCTACATGCACTGTGCTGCTGAGGGGTTACACACGGCATTTAGATCTGAAATATCACAGACTCATTTTTCACAAGGTGTAATGATGAGTCAATAACTCAGGTAAAAGCCTGTTATTTTTTTTTCGTATTAAATCCCCACCACAGTCCCAAAGGAGGCGATGGTGAGAAAGGGAAGCAATAAAGTTAGTAAGTAATTACAAAAAAGTGAAAGACAATAAATGTGGAGATGTGTGCAATAAGTCTATAAGACTCCAAAAGTGCAAGTCCTCCATTAAAATTGACTTTCAACTTGATTTGATAATTCTGCATTTTTAGTACAACTCAGCCTGCAAACACAAAAGATGCTTCTAGCCTGTTACAACCTTAAGTGATCAAAGATAACTGCATGCATGTTTTTGTAACGAGGACTTTTTGGGCATTGCTTGTGCTTCATATCAAATGCATCAGACCCAATCCAGGATTTGTTGTATAAAAATGCAACACAGAGGTTTACATGTGTAAGAATCGATTCTATGAACCAAAGCCTGAGCTGGACTGTCTTCTTCAATAACATCCCCTCTTCACACTCTGTCAATAAGTAGCCATGAACTTCCAAAAAATCTCATCACCATCACCGTTAGAGCAAGACACGGAGCCGAGGCCCGATTCTTTCCGACAAAATTCCAAGACGGGGAGGCATCTTCACCTCCCCCATCATCAATCAGTCTCCCTGAGTCAGCACAAGCCGTTTGGGCATCGGATGAATGCTGACATGCTGAGAAAAAGTCGGAAATTTGCACACACACACACAAAAAAAGAAAAACGCCTGACATCATCATATACATTCACAGGAATTAAATGCTCGTAGAAGGAAAATAAACTCTGGTTGCAGGTAATGACAAACTTTTGAGGCCTGACATTTTCCGGGGGCTGCGTCAGAACTTGAATGGAAGCAAGAAACATTTAAATGTGAAAAGCAATTGAGGAGTCGGGGAGGGAAAACAAGCACAAACAAGATGTATACTTTCTCTCCACTTCAAGATGAGTAAACTGCAAGAAAGCCTATTAAAGCAAGTACCTATTTACCAAAAATAAGTGGGGGGAAATGTGTAGCTTTGGAGCAAACATCCATCAAACATTTCACCATTTGCTTAAATGAGCAATCAGGGGTATTGATGCACACAGGCTCTTTAAGTACAAATCTGAGGATTTAAATTTAAAGCGCTGAGTCAAATGAGCTGAGCAATCTTTCCTAGACGGAGCGAGGCATCTGAAACTGTTTAAAGTAAGAACACGACAGAAAAAAAATGTCCACGGAGGGGATGGAGGTGAGTCCGCATGGAGTTTTTTTGATCTAATCTTCCATCTGAGTTTGCATATTTTGGTCGAAATAATCATCCAAATATGCCTCAAAACTTTGTCGTCATTTCAATCTATACACGAGTAGTTAGTTTCCTTTTACTTCAAGACGTATTTCCAGGATGTATGGCAGTACCCGAGTGCTCAAGTTAAGCCTATTGGGACGCTCACGGGGACCCGCTTGATTAATGAGGCAGTCCTGTGGCTCGCACAAATACATGCAGCACAGATGCTCTGCTGCCCTTATTGGATTTTCACATAATGAACAAATAAGTGGGTCTGAACATAAGGCATTACAGTTACAATCAGCCAAGAGTGGAAAACAACTGCATAAATTAATTGATGAAGCAATTAAATCAGGGTGTTTAAGTGGGCAGGCGGTGGATAAGTCTTGGGACCTTTCGTCGCAGATCGTGCCCCTCTTTATCCCACTGTTTCCTGACGTTATCTCGTGTGGAAAACTGCATAATTAAGGGAGAAAAGCAAGAACACCTAGTCATCCAGGAGGAGGTACAGTTACAGTACATTAAAGGAGGATATTGTGGTGTTAAATTGAAAAGCTTCACTTTGATTAATCTTCAGGAAACAGGATGTAATGCTTTCTTTTAAAAGTGTTTTTATTGTCAGAATGAAATACACCATTTTTTATAGATAGATCCAGATTAAAATACTGAGGATCAATCCATTATAGTTCATCTTTACGTACATGTAAAAATATTAACGATGATATATACACTGTATATAAGAAGTGGACATAGCAGTTGTGATGTCATCCCTTTGATTTGTTGACTAACATTTTGAAGCTTCAAGTTTGGCATTCCATGTCCGCCATAATGTTTAGTTTTCTTCCTGGAGCTAGATATGGCCATATTTGGGTTGTGGCATATCCCTGCTGCTGCTGTAGAGACTTGTCAATCACATGAAGCCACGCCCTTAAGCCCACCCTGCTTCATTGTTTGTTTCGGTGTTAAAGGGGCAGTAACATAAACGCTTTGATTTTTTGCAGGAGACGTTAAACAAGTGGTTGCGAACTTAAATCATCATCATCATTAGTGTCAATTTTTCATCTGTTGTTATTTTTCAATGGAACTTCTTCCGGCAACAAGTGGAGTCTCCCCCTGCTGGCCGTTAAAAAAAATGCAGGTTTCATTTTTTGTATTTATCAAGTGTCTTTTTTTACATCGGACAGACACACGAGTTTCACTTTGGAGTGTGTAGACATTCAAATCAGATCTGAAGAATGCAAGCTTGGTATTTGAAGAGATAATTGGTGTCTTTATAAGGATTACTTGGGTACTTACTGCAAAAAGTTTTTCTATGAAACGGCTACACATAGAACACCTCAAGGGGGTCTGAGATCTTTCTGAATGGCTCTGAACAGCTGCAGCACAGAGTCTGTCCACACCCGTCTCTGCTGCTGGTCCCTGATTCTAGCCAGAGTCTGAGCGCCGTAAACCAGAGTCAGCACCGTCCTCTCAAAGTCCTGCAGGCTCAGGCGCTGCCGGCGCAGAGCGAGCTCCGCTGTCAGATGACGGATTTCCGAGAGCCTCTTGGGCAGGACGTCGTCGCAGATGACCTCCAGCTTCTCCACGCTCCGTAGAGAGGCCAGCTCCTGGTCTGGGATCAGCATGGCGTGGTCGCCGTCTTGGATCTGCGTTCCGGCAAGAAGGATCTGAGAGACACACGTTCTATTTCATCGTCGGGAAAATGGAACAAAAATGGGACAGATCTTTTGCACATACCCGACATATTTAAACTGGCTTCCTTCCAGTGATGACCCACTAAACCCTGAAGCCCACAGGATCCAAACTGACCTCAAAGAGCAGGTTTACATCCTCCATGGTTTGTTGGAACACTGGGTTGATCAGTGAATAGGTCCCACGCTTTATCCTATAGGCAGATGGATACAGAGCTACAACACACAAAGACAGGAAATTGGATTACGGGGTCTCCATTGAATTCAAGACATTCGACATGCATGTGGGTGGGCCGGAGGCTTCATAAACACAGATACATTACTACTCTAATATTATGCAGGTGGGATCAAATCTGGCTCCAGCTGTGCGCATGGGTAATTGGTGTTCGACCCCGAGTCTCACATGCTTCTATATTTAACAAGTGGCAGTGCATCCAGAGGTGAGAGGTCTCTGCTTACTGAGGAGGAGGCAGGTGTTGCTGACCTCATTTGGTCTGATTTCAAAGTGTCAGATGTGTGAGAAGACCCCATAAACTGATACGGCTGGAATGAAACCCCACGCTCTTAGCTTGAAGAAACCGTCTCTGATACCAAGTTTGTATAAAATCCATATTTTACTTAAGGTGATTTCACATGGTTGAACAGCTAAACTCCCGATGTAGAAAGAGACAAACTACATCCACCAGAAAATGTACTTAAATTACAATTTCGAGGCACTTTACTACAGTCTCTTTTTTTATCAATGATTTACCTTCAATCCTCTTTATTAGGGCCCGAGCCACAATGAATCGCTTATTTGGGGGCTTTAACGTGCACAAAATAACTCACCAAAATTCAGCCTTGTGTGAAATTTACGTATGAACGTGGTTCGGTGCATGGGCGTCGCCGAATGGCTCCAGAGCGCGCCCAAATGTCACTCAGGGTACTGCGGTTACCCTACATGCACGGAAATTGGTGAGCCATATGAAGCTCAATGAGACGAGAAACAATTACATGATGACTCTTAAATCTACAGGAAGTGAGCTAGGCACAGTCAAAGTCCAATTTTTCAGATTTTTCAGATTCATCCCTATTTTCAACGGGCTCTCAAAGTTTGTTGACGTTTTTGGCATGCCGCCAACGAAACAAATTGTTATAACTCTGACACGCAGTGCTGCAGCACACGTCTGGACCAGACTGGCACATGCCACTCATATGCGGCATATGCCACGGCACGAGTGGACCAGAACGGCATATGCCGCGGCATGTGACACTCATGTGAGCGGCAAATGTGTTTTTTTGTTAGTAACGGTAATGGTGAGTATTTAGGATTTTTTGATGATTTTTTGGATGGACCATGTTTTACTTAAAGGCTTACTATGGGATTTTTTGATCCAGCAGCATGAAACCAAAACAACTCGCAGTGCATTGTTGTGTTAGCATGCTAATGCTAGCGATCTTTATTATGCTGGTATCTTCACACTGCATGTAAATTTACCTGAAATGAGCGTGATCTAGAAACACAGTTAAGCAGTGAGTACAGTATGTTATTCTTCTTTTCTCTAGTCCCTCAATTAAACAACTTTTATACACGAGGGGAGGAGTCAGCCGGCCGTCCGGGCGATGTAAACAAACTGAAGATAGGACTCTGAAAACTCTGAAAGCATCACAGACAGTGGGACTCGGGTGTTACACCCATTGTAGACAGTCATGACTCACAGAGTTATTTTCAGAGGATAAACTTGATTTATATTACATCTAAGTGTGAAACATCACATTTAACCCTAATCGGCCGCCCATATATCTGGGCCCCAGAAAGCTCCCCACCCCTATGGACAGCCTTGACTCTTGTACTCTTCATGCACAGTCTCTTACATTTTAAATACTCACTGGGCCATTTTTTAAGTTAACAGGCTTAAAAATGCAAATAACAGATAAGGCTAAATTCTTAATAAAGTCAGAAGGACATATCTGTGTTTCCAGAATGATTTATGAACTACCCTGATCTTAAAACTCCACATTTGCATTCTCATTTTTGCAAAACAGGCTCGAGTGAGCCCAGATATTCCCACTGGTAACAGGAAGTCATTTGGAGGTCACGTCTAAACAAAGCAGGAATAAAAAGGACAAAAATAGAAAAAACAGAGAGAGGGGTCAAACTAGGATGCAAAGTAAACTGATACACTTTTTTGACCAAGCTTCGTGTTTTTATTGGGACTACTTTTGCAACATGACTCTTCATTTGTGTTAATATAACAACAACCTCTAATGTGTGAGCATCCAGGACCAATTCGGTGATGGGAGTGAAACAAAGCAAGGGGAATCACAACATGACAACGTGACTTAGCTAAACCTTCATTTGAGCTTCTCCAGATGTCCTCTGCTATTTTTCCACATACACTATTGCCATCCAGTTGCTTGGCTCAGCGTGTAAGCCAACACACAGATCACACACACAGATCTCAATGAGGTGTGCAGTGTAAACACTGGGCTTCATCTGAATTTCGATCCAATCGTCCTGCAGCCCTACAGCGGCGTCCACGCTGCGCTGCCTCGCCAATTCTGCAGTAATAATCAGCCCCGCTGCCCGCAGCCTCGCTAGGCTAAGATACATCCAGCTTTTACTGCATTTTTTTAAGGCCAGTCAAAGCCACACACACCGTCTGATCTCCGCTATGCACCTGCCTGCTGTTTGAGTGGCTGTCAGGCATATATAGCTCCAGCTTTGTTTTCACAATGCAGAATGTTAAGATGGTATTTAAGCAAACCAATATGGTACATTTGAGTCATCCCCAACACATTATCTGAAACCGTTTTGGCATCAGTCCCACCTTAAAATATCCTGCTAAGAATACAAATGACTCAAGTTGTTCTCATCCCCAAAAATGGGAAAAGCAGTGAGGACATTTTCCTCGATCCTATGGTTTGAGTGCATCCCAATTATGAGTTGAAAATCTACACTCCTCACTGAACAAGTGACTCCCAAATGCATGATCAACAGCGGAGGAGGGATGCCTGTGCAGTGATATTAAAGACACTCCAGTGTCTGAGGGGCATTGTCAGAGTAAACACAACAACACCCAGGGGAAAAGAGTGCTCATTAGAAAACAAGGGTTATGTCACTAAAGGATGGAGGAGACGGAGGGGAACGACAGTTTGGAGGCCAACCCAAAGCTGATTTGCATTTGAAATTACTAATCTGTGATTTAAATAAAAGATTGCTCCTACTCTCTGACGTTGTTTGCTAAATTCACAATAGTCCTTTAGCAGGCAGGAATTTGTGTGTTGTACGTCTTCAGCAGCAAAGACAGGATTATTCACTGGTTATTGCTCACATAGATTTGGAAATGTATAGGGCCAAAAATAAATCCCTTACAAGGAGAGAAACATAAATTTGAGCATTTGTCTGCCAAGAACAGGCAAACGGGTAGAATGCACGACTTAGTGGCAAAAATGTAAGCTAACAAAAAAGTTTACTTTATAGATAGTGAAAAACAATGTTTGCAACGAGCACAAAGCCAGGATAGAGAGGCAGAGCCAAAAGGGCAAAGCAAGGCCGGCTCCGAGTCCAGAAAGCCTGCAAAGGTTAATAACAAGAAAAGCAGACAGACAGACAGCCGAGATAAGGTTGAACCACTGAGGCTGGGTTGCAAAACAAACAATCAGACAGAGTTTGGAGGAGGAGGGTTACATATATATATAAACACACTGTGCAGCTGAAAAAGGGGATGGGGAACAGGTGAATGTGGAGGTCAGGGGATGATAGGAGTGGGAAAAGCTTTGTTGCACAGCAGGGGGCAGGGAGGAAGACGGCTGGAATGTGAACAGAATTAAACTGGCAGCAGCCATTGATAGAACTGTTGCTGTGTCTCAATTCAGGGGTTAGCTTCCGTTGAAAGTTGGACGACTCTTAATCCTGCTATAAAATGATTGTGTTAATTTGAGCCAAACAATCCAGCCTTTAATGACGTCACTGCACCAGAACACTGACAGAAAGTGACAGTAATCCTAATAGCTACTACTGCTAGGTTACAATAACTAGCTAATGTTAGATTATTAACACTCACCTATGCTTTGACCTTCACTTCCAAAAGGTCGGCTGTATAATAAATACATAAAGCTGTCTGTGGTTTTGTAGACTTCATCCTGCAGCAGTGTAAGGGGAAGGACTCTCCACTTAATATCTGGCAAAGACGTTGCTTTTTGAAGCAATTTAAATCGCGTCCCACGTGCTCTTTGAGGGTGACATGATCTCAAACTTGCAGATTATCTTAAAATCTCTGTTTTTCAGCGGTTGTCAGGTAATGTAAGAATGTGTCGTTTTGAAGACGTTGCAGCTCCACAGCAATGAATGCCGCTACCTTCCGGAGTTCACATGACTGAAAGCTATACAGTGAGACATTTTTATTACGATTAAATATTCAAGTTCTAATCGGTAAGGGAATCAACCTTACACTTTCTCAACTTTTTTCCCGTTGCTCTCGGTAAGCCTGTTCATTCTTCACGCTTGCTTCGCCACTCTCTTCAAGCGCTCCAAACAATCAGTGTTTGGATGGGCAGGCTTCCCCCAATGTCATTATGCACAGGCAGGGAACTTGTAATCTCCCGCTAACTGCTTGCAAGGAGATGAGGGAACAACAAAGATCCATTAATTAGCCGGGCTAAATGGTATTCCTGGCTGGAGGGAAGTCTTGATGAGAGAGAGAGAGAGAGAGAGAGAGAGAGAGAGAGAGAGAGAAAACTAAAAAGGGGGGAAACAAAAACAATAACAAAACAGACGTCTGGATCCCCTTGGCTGACGTTACAGGAGGGTGAAAAGGAAATGCAAGAGAACTAAATCTTTGCTGCAATGGCCCGGCTTCTGCTCAGCATTTTCAATTTACATCCGAATTATGTTAATATCCAAAAACTGCACTTTTCAAACTGTGTCTTTTTAGAATCAACATTGTGCACAAGGATTTCTCCACCAATACTCCCATTGTGAGACAAATCTTTCAGAGGATTTAAGCTGCAATAAAAGGATCTTAGTATCACTGGAAGTCAAGATCATGTTTTGTCCTGTGTATATTAGCAAAATGGGGACATTGGTGTTAAATTGTAAATGTTTACTGCTTCACCCGCTGCCCCCTAGTGGTTGAAAAGTCAATAAAGACCTTTAAACACATATACTGTAGGAATAACACAACAATTTAAGAGCGTTCCCCCCAGAATGTGACACCCTCCTAGAGTCGAAAGAGACAGACGCACATGGGACGTTTTTTCTTCTTCTTCTTCTAATAAGTAAAGTTTAAAAAAGAACACAGAATATTTTCCCCCCACTTTGGCCGGCTGCAGTTTCAAGTCACTTAGCCAAAGATTTTAAGATATGTGAGTCTCGGGGAAGGAATTTTCCTCAGCGAGTGACTCCAATAACAACAGTCCAGCCACCTTTAACTGGAAAAACGACGTGACAAACGACGCTAATGTCACTGTTATACTGATATCTCCAGAAAAAAAATCATGATTTGATACGTTAAGAGAAGAAAACCAAGACTGAGCCATAATGCAGTTTTCTTATAGACTTTTAAATGAGGATGCCAATCCTTAGAATAAGTGTTCAAGGCATTATTCAAAAGAGCTTTTCACATAATGTTGACAATAGGGTCTTATAATGTTAAAAAAACAACAACAACAGGTATAATGTATGCATGGAGGAGTCTGCACAGCCTCTCTTCGTCCACCTACCTTTTCTACGGTGCTGACTGGCTTCCAGGTACATAGACAGGTAAACAACGACGAGCGGAGCCCACCACTGCATGCTGATCATCCTCTCACACACACACACAACACACACACACACTCTTCTTCCAGCCTCGCTCTCTGTGTCTTCAGATTCAGAGTCGTAAACTGATATAAAAAGGGCGGATTAAAACGCTCTTAATGTTGAGTTTTAAAAACTGTTTTCACATGCAGGATCATTACTGGATTCACTGTTTTCATTTTTCTGTTGCCTCCTCCCAAAATCCATCCTCTCTCAGTCTATTTTTTCTGTGTGTGTGTGTGTGTGTGTGTGTGTGTGTGTGTGTTCTCTGCTCAGGCCAGACTGTCTGAGCTCTCATCTGGAAATAATCAGTGCCTGCTCTCTTGGCTGGACTTTTCCCCCTCCCCGGCTGACTGGTTCAGTTACTGTGTGACTGTCCAACTGACCGGATAACTAGGCGACTGGATGAGTGGCTGACTGACTCCCCGATCCGTCGACTAAGCGAAATGAAATCCAACGGGTTCACAACCCAACTGGTGTTACGAGGGGAACAATAGATGGATGGTTTTCTAAGGAAAAACAGGCTCTGGCTTGATCAAGCATTCTTATCAGCACCATGGTTTCTGCGTTCAGTCCATTATTTCTATCAGTTCTGGTCGAAGTCTACAGACCAAACTGACAGCTACGATCTGGGAACATGTTAAACCTGCTGCAACATGTGACCTGGGGTGTAAAAGTGCTTTGTCAGAAGACTGGAAAAGCTCCATTTACAGAGGTATCAAACTCTGAGGTGGTCGCCCCTCATCCAATCGAACCCTGGTGTAGTTCTTTTGCAGAAAAACACAATCAAGATGACATTGAATGAAGTGAATGAATAGCAAGATCATTAACTGTTAATGCAAATAAGGAACATATAAAGAAGCTGCACATCTTAAATTCCCTGTATTGTACAATGAATTTAAGACATTTTGAACGATGGGGGTCCCAGCCAGAGGCTAATGCTATATAGGGGTCCTTGGCATGGCAACGGTTGGGGGTGCCTTCATTAAGCTGCCTTAAAGGCTTTATATGCACTTTTTCACACTTAAATATAATATAAATCAAGTATATCCTCTGAAAATAACTCTGTGAGTCATGACTGTCTACAATGGGTGTAACACCCGAGTCCCACTGTCTGTGATGTTTTCAGAGTTTTCAGAGTCCTATCTTCACTTTGTTTACATCGCCGGGACGGCCGGTTGACTCCTCCCCTTGCGTATAAAAGTTGTTTAATTGAGGGACTAGAGAAAAGAAGAATAACATACTGTACTCACTGCTTAACTGTGTTTCTAGATCACGCTCATTTCAGGTAAATTTACATGCAGTGTGAAGATATGAGCATAATAAAGATCGCTAGCATTAGCACGCTAACACAACAAAGCAGCGCGCGTTGTTTTGGTTTCATGCTGGTGCTCAAGGGCGACACCTGCTGGATCAAAAAATCGCATATAAAGCCTTTAAAACATTGTTATTGTGAGCTTGTTAGCTATTTTTACTCAGATGACGCAATGCACAGAACAAAGGCTCTGACTTGAAAAAGCTTCTGTTTGATTGCAGGTACAACGTGCAGACGACGACGATATAACCCTGACTGAGACAGAAGGAGACAAACAGCTTTGTGTCGGCGAGTGAACATCAACAAGGACGTGAGGGCCACTCAGAGCATCTTGATTCTTTATCCTCTCTCTCTCTCTCTTTCTCTCCTCCTCACAGCCTCTTCTGCTCTTTGTTGTCAGAGAATAAGTGCAATAAACACACAGTCCCCGTCGTGGTGCAAGGCATATAATAGATTGTGTAGGTGCTCCGGGTTTCAAGATGGTTTGCTTTCTTGGCACGGCCTCTGAAAGCTGCATCTGCTATAATAAAACACAGATAATATTCCAGTAATGCTCTCATGTATAGGGAGTTCAAAAAGAAAAGCACCCACGTTCAATGAGTAGATTAGACGGCAGTAATTAATTAATTTATCAGAACGAGGCTCTAGATATTAATTTAAATGTTTCAATTCTAACAATGTACTGCCCAATAAAAGCCCCACTTTTTTTTCTTATCTACACTGTGCTCTTGGAATAAGCGATGACAGTTTTGTATCTGAACACAGTTGTTGTTGTCAATGCGCAGTCAATTTTTCAGCTAAAATGTTCCCCCGCTCGTTGTTCCCGAAAGGCCGCTCAAGTCGCCGAAAATGCAATCCCAAACATCAGCGCAAGGCCTGCGGTCGGCTGCCATTTCATTTTCAGCAGCCATGAAAAGTATCGAGGGGGGAGTCATAACTCTTAATGTTGATCTGGATACTTTTGGAGAGGCTTGTTGGAAAAACGACAACGAATGAGGCATTTAGGTGCTCTGCTTTTTTAGGCTCCAAAATGTAGGAAGAGCGCTGGAGGAGTTTCGCAAATCAAAGCCAAGAAGAAAAAAAAATACAGCTGATTAGAGGACATAAACTATAATCTATTTAATCTATTAGCATTCAAACTTCATTTAAATGATTAATCTACACAGTGCTGGATGACTGTCTTGACTCTCCTGCCGCCATATGTTTGATTTAATATCTGCCCGCAGCAGATGGGAAACAAAGGTACCATGCCCTTCTCCTCTTTCCCTTCTTAGGCCTGCAGAACATAAAAACACATTTACATGGACGAGGAAGCTGGAAGAACGCCTCGGTGGACAAACTGCATGTGACTCACATGGCTAACGCATAAGGAGGAGGCAGATGGCGTTTTTTTTAAAGGGGCGACTAAAAGCCAGATAATAATCTTTTGCTGCAGCTCACGTCTTTTATTTCTGTGTTTGTGCACCACCTGAGAGACAAGAAAAATGGCAGTGACCTCTGCATGTGCGGGGTTTATAAAGACACAATCCACACACATGCACTGGTTAAAATTATTTTTTTTTTTCCGATTGTGACCACAAGGGGGCAGCGTCGCAGCACACATCCTGAAAGAGCCACACTGCCAACTTCTCCAAGATCCTGCAGTGATTGCTTCTGCTGCTGCTGCTCCAACTCTTCTGGTGATGCTGCATGAATTTCAGAAATAATTGAAATCTATTCAGATAAGGACTGACAATATGAACGCAGCCACTTAACAAAGATCAAAGGGTTGTTTGGGGGGGGGGTTTAACCCAGGTGGGCACCCTCGAGACATCCTTTGGTTTAATTGCTTCTTCGCTGTAAATCACTGGAATGCCTCAAATATGCAAATCCACACAAGGACACTGTACATTTGAACTTGCAACGAGGCTCGCTTGATAGTCAAATTGCTTGTGCACAAAAAAGTGTGCAGCTGCAGTTTTTAGCTCACAAAGCTGTGAGTCTGGATAATAGGTAAACACCTGACCTTGATTGTACAAACACAGAAAAAGCTGAGGTGTGTAATGCTGAGGGTTTTTTTTTTTCCAGTCGAGGGAATTGTGACTCATGGGGAGTGTTTTGAGTAAAAAGAAAAAAAAAAAAGCTCAAAGTCAAAGCCGTGTTATAATATATCCAATATTGCTTGTGACAGATTGCAGGAAGTGAAGCCTGGAAGCCACAGCAGGAGACTGAATGTACTGGATGTAAAACACACTCTCTTCCTGGAGGACTGCCTCCAGCTAGAAACTGAGCAGTGTGTACAAAGCATCGCCGGTCATTGCGGTTGTTGCTGGTGTGTTGACAGCTTGTGTACGAGCGAGCCAAAGCCTGTGAGAGGTGAGGATTTAGAAATTGTAATTATTTCTAAATCCTTAACCAAAGCTCCGATGAGATGCTTTTTGCTTCATCTGGCTTTCACTGTAAATGAGACTTTGTTCTGCTCGATCAGAACGGTTGAAAAGAGAGAGACAAAAACGTTTTTTTTTTTTTAGGAAAAAGAAAAAAGGAGAGAGAGCGCAAGCAAGCGAGCAGGGATAGGGTGTACCGTGTGTCATCAGGATAATGAGGATTGTGCTGTATTATGGAGGATGGTAAAAATAACACCAAAGTGGGGAAAGTGTGTTGGATTGTTTCTACAGGAACAAGAGCTGAAACCCTGAGAATGGGTAGTGACAAGGTGCAAGAGAAAAGAGTGTCACAAGGATAATAAGGACTATTAGAGAACACAAAAGTTGGACGATAACAAAAAAAAACTTTAAGGTGGCTCAAGCTTGAGCAAGAGTAAGGTGCAAGTCAAAGGTGTGTCATTATTAAAATGAAGACTTTTTTTGTAGCACAGAATGAAGTTGTAAAAACAGCTCAAAAGTTGTAATTAAAAGTTTTGGAGGTTTGATGTAAGTAAGAGCAGAAAACTTGAGAACGAGTAGGAACAGGGCGCAGGGAGAAAGTTGTGTCATGACGATCATTATAACTTTTTTAAATACAGAAATAAAGAGGAAAACTACATAAGTGGAAAAGAAATATGAATAATATCGTATATCAATATTTCAGTTAGACGGTCATATCTACTTTTTAAGATAAAGTAAGAGCAGAGTGTTTGAGAAACACGGTGTAAGAGAGAAAGTTGAGTCATAGTAATTATGAGGACATACAAATACACAAAAAAGGTTTAAACTATCAATTACAATCATCCATCCATTTTCTAAACTGCTTTTTCCCTTTGGGGGGTTTGGAGCCGATCCCAGCTGTCATTGGGCGAGAGGCGGGGTTACACCCTGGACTGTTCACCAGCCAATCACAGGGCTACAGTCATACACTAGTACACTAATAATTAGACAAAAGTTGAAATGTAAACATATTTCAGGATCATTTCTACTTAAAAATAACATATAAGATTAGAATGCTTAAAAAGAAGTAGGGAGAGGGGGGCACAAAACATTTTTAAGTTTTATTTAAAAATAAGTCAAGCAGAGAATTTGAAAATGAGTCGGGGCAGGGTGCAAAAGAAAAAAGTGAAAAAGCTCAAAAGTTGTAACTTTTTTAATCTACTTCCTGCAGAGGAGCGTTCCCATTATTGCAACATTCATTGAGGGGTTTCAGAGAGGTTTCAATATAACAAAGTACCTGAGAGAGAGAGAGAGAGAGAGAGAGAGAGAGAGAGAGAGAGAGAGAGAGAGAGAGAGAGAGAGAGAGAAGTGGACGGATACGAAACCTTCATTTATTCACCTGCTCTAATGTAGCTGTTTACCAGCTCCAGTGTTGATTTCATTTGGCAAATGCAATGCGCCTCCGTAT